AATCTAAAATTTAGAATATTGAAATTATTAGAAGAAATAAAAGTAGAATAATTTAGATTGAATGGTGATATGAAATTGATTTTATGTAGTTTATATTATGATTAGATTCTATTCATTCGGTATGGTTTATTTGAAGCTACTATACATCGATATTGAGAATCGTAATTGATCAGTCTCTTGTTGATATTTGTACATCCTGTGTGTGTGTGTGTGTGGATTACCTCGATATTGACATAAATGACGAGTATAATAAACTTGGATAGTTGATGGCTAATAGTGGAATGCGAGATACTCCGTTTGTTCTATTTGAGACTGATCAGCTAGATATCCACTGTTGAACTTGAACCCTGTATCATTCACTTGAAACGTGTATCCTGGATTCTACTGTTACCTACCAACTATCTTTACTTATAGGGATAAGATTAGTATTTTCCAAGTATAATTAGAGCATGAGTTGACAACTCTGAACGGAAAACGTTTAATCCACGTAATAAAAAAACATGCCAGAGAGTCGAAGTTAAATAAAAATTTCATCAGTTTTCAGTTTTGATCCTTATTATATGATGACAGTAGACAATTTATTCGGCATATCGCTAGACACTATGAAAAATTCCGTAGTTTATGAAGTCTGTTGAGTTTAGTTTGATATCATCAATGGATAAGTGTTAGATTATCATTGAACATTCGGAAACATTGGATAGCCGTTTCGTCCTGGTATGGGACTTTTTAGCTGTGCGCATCGACGAACCTGTACTCTGTATTCGATCGGGTGCTCTTCACTATCGTGCGTAAACGCGTGATATATGAAGAAAGTGAACATTATCATAACAGTATCTAACCACCTAATAAACTAAAGAAGAACAGTAGAAAACTAGAAAGCATTAAGTGGCTATTTTTCATTGTATTTTTTTAATCCAATTATTACTCAGTAATCATGACATAATAAAAAATAACAAAAACCATCACTATAAGCTCAGTTTGCGAATGGAACTAACTTATGCTGATCTAACTTAGATGGATTCATAATTTTAATGAAATTTATGAGTTATCTTGACTATCAGTGATTACTTTATTGACTTATTATTTAGTTTATGGCAGAACGATATCAAATATTAGCGATGAATATTCTTTTGTTCATCACATCCTAATATCTCTATGTAAATGCATATGAGATGATTACTATGGTACCCAAATGCCCTGGTAAGGTGGAGAGTGGGAAGAGTTAATTCTCCCTCTTCAAATACTCTCACATGGCCACGTACATACAATCACTGACATAGAGATGTCCTACTCACTGCATTCTCGTGATACGGGTGTTGTTTACGAAACTGAGAGGACGAAAAGTGAATGTCTGGTGCTTTAACCGAGTTGGTGGATATGGAGGACGCACCTAGTGGAGTTGGAAAACTCTTACTGTAAACCAATAGTGTACATAGGTTGGCTCAACGATTCTAAGAAAACAAATGGTGTATGAACCAATCGTCAGTCACCAGCAACTACGAGACTGCATCTAGTTATCATGGATTAATAATAGTAAAGCCTCATAATAAAGTAATTTCTTGAGGAGTCTCACATTAAGACGAAACGGACGTCCAATCCTTCCAGGTTTTCTATGATGGCTTAGCTTTAATTGATTCATGAATTCAGTCATTAAATTACTACTAATCAACTATTCCTTTTCTTTGAGTACTCCATGTGTGCTTAAAAACACTTGAATAACCATACATTCTTCGCATTTTTGGAATATTATGTCATTGTCACATCATAAGTAGTGTAATGGGTTCAGTTATCATCAGCAATACAAGTAGTAATATGTTATGCAATCCATAAACGTATTTTCCTATTTATAACATTAATCCATGTTAATTACGTCTTCAGTCCTAGTGTTGTATCTAAAATAAGTATATAAGATTTCAGATGACTTTCTTTTATTCAATTTCTGCAGCAATTTGGAAGACTCTTCCGGTCTGCCACATTGTACGAGCATTCCATGTACCTAAATTAATGGTTACTCTGTTAGTCAGAAGGGGAATTAACTTCGTGACTTTCGAAGGAACTTCGCTTTCACCATGAGGCGTCATAACTCTTCTAAATGAAGACCTACTAATTCCCAAGGTAGAGTTTAAATGGTTTGAATTATTTTTTTCACGTTAGAGTTTTTTTAGCGAGTTAGTTTTCTACAGGATGGGATCGCTAACCCCATGCACAACCCTCCTCCTTTATCCGTTTTTTGAACCTGAAGTAGCCCCATAGGGGCTCCAGGAGGAGTTTTTAGTCAATTAACTTCGACTAAATAGTACCAATACATGATGTAGAAAACGAGAACCGTTTTCGATAGTTTGTGATATCTACATTCTCAACGTATACATTTTGGGAGGTTCATTCTTGTTAACGAGACTTGAAAGTTACAATTGAGTCCAATAAATTTCTGGTTCTAAAAGATATTGCAGAAGCCGTAAACAAAAATCTGTAAGCTAAATACACAATCAATAAGTCTTTCAAAGTACAGAATTATGTAATAGTGATTTGTGAATCAATTCCGTATGTTTAAGAAATTTCGGATTTTCTGATAGTTGCCAACAGTCATGCAACTTAATCATCATCTATCTTAATAACTAAGTCATGTCTGTTACTAGTATAGGGATTGTGGAGATTATTAAGTTTTTTTGATTGAGATCATGAACCGACTGATGTCAGACCACCTTTGAAAACCTGGAAGCACTGGACGGTCGTTTAGTCCTATTGTGGTACTCCTCAGCAGTACGCATCCACGATCCCACTCGCGGGATTCGAACCCAGGGCTTCAGTCTCGCGGCCAACTCTTAACCTACTGAACCACTGAGCCGGCATTCAATGGTGATAGTGTCTAACATCAAACAATCCACAAAATTGCTCGACCAACATCCATTGCACTGAGGTAGATACCTGTCTATACCCGACATGGATTAACTCCACTGGTCACGGCTTCTCACCAGAACTCCGAGAATTCCCTCACAAAGCTAGTCACTAGTGAGCACATGTTATTGGTTCGCACACATGAATGAACGCAAAACTTTATTCTTTTAAAGATGATAGTGATAATTATCTAGTGTTGTAGTTATCATATAAAAAAGCAAGAAACCTCTCTTATTGATACACGGTAGTTTATGTGGCAGATTTTATACTACTACCTATTCTAAAAGTAGTACAATGCTTTCAAAGAAACAATATAGCATTTTTTGAAACATATCCTCCTACCTGAAAGAGAAGTAATGAAAAATCTATAGTTTGAATAGGAATACTAGATAGTAAGTAGTTATTTCTGAGTCTGATCGTTAAGAAATATGAATTCAAAGAACCCATTCAGTGATGAAATCAAATGAGAAAGGTTAATTTAATTACAGTGAAAGTATTGTTCATGACTATTCTGGGAAAATCGAAAGTACAGATGTGAATAGAACCACATGTTGTAGTTGCGAATTAAAGAATCTATCTATCTATCAATCTAACCATATATATACTCGATAAAAGCCGTTGATTGTTTGGCCAAGATATATTTCAAATTAGTGCTTTAGACTTCTAGTAATTTCGATTAGGACGAACTTAATCTTGTACCTTCTTCCGAGAATATAGTCATTCTACATGGCAACTGTACAGATAAGTTCGAATTTGATATCATCTCACGTGAACTGTTGATTTAAAAGTATTAAAGCCTTTATATGAGAATTGTCCATTATCAAAGATATTTCAATGGTTTGAGACAGGTATCTACCTCAGTACAATGGAAGATGGTCGCACAATTTTGTGAATTGGTTTCTGTTAGACATTAACACTGTTAGATGCCGGCTCAGTGGTCTAAAAGTTGTTTTCTATTTATTTTATTTGAACATAAATATTGGTACAAAGGGACACCGAATATATGCCGCCACGCAAATCACTTGATTTTTGTGTGGGCTGTGGTATTGACCCGGTGCCTTAACCGAAGCAGGCGATTTTCTTAGGGGGTCACACCCCGAGTCTTTGACCTAAAGATCTAATCCAAAAGGCACTGGAATAACGTAAGGAGATGCAGTCTCATAGTAGCCGATCACCAATAACTGATTCATACGCCATTTGTTTCTTTAAAATCGTTGAGCTAGCCTATGTACACCATTGGTTTAGAGTCAGAGTTTTCCAACCCCACTTGGTGAGTTCTCTATATCCACCAACTCGGGGTTAAAGCACCAGACATTCGCTTTTCGTCCTCGCAGTTTCGTAAACAACACCCGTGTCACGAGAATGCAGTGAGTAGAACGTCTCTGTGTCAGTGATTGTATGTACGTGGTCATGTGAGAGCATTTGGAGAGGGAGAGTTAACTCTCCACCCCCCTTTGGCTATATCCGGGGATTTGAGAGTAAATATTCCCATTTTCGTTTAGTTTAAATTTATAAAAGGTACAAATCACAAGTGATTTACCGTAAGAAGGTAAAATCTTTATTAATTTAAGAAGACCTTTATTATAGAGTTGAACTAATGAGAATAACTGTTTTCTAATTTAACGGTTAATGATAAATAATTGCTTGCACCAAACACTTTAACACTAAGTACTTCTCCGGAATTGATTAAATGTATGACAGTCTCTAATAAAGATTCAATTTCAAGAAGAAATCTCAAAAATAGCTTTACAACATGTTCAAAGATGTTCAGGGGTATTTAATTTAGCACATTGCCGTTTCCAGTTGGGAAAGGAGATCTGACACTCTCCACCTCCGACCATACCAGGGCATCCGGAGACTCTGAATGTTAAGCGTTTGAGCACAAGATCGAAGGCCATGGGTTCGAATCCCACGAGCAGGATCATGGATGCACACTGCTGAGAAGTTTCACATTAGAACGAAACAGCTGTCCAGTGCTTCCAAGTTTCCAACAGTGGTCTAACATCAATGAGTTCATGATCTCAATCAGAAAAAACTTAATCATCTCCACAAACCCAATACTACTACTAATAATAATAATAACACAATAATAAGAACATCATTACCTAGGACGTCCTATAATTGCAAAATATTCATTTAATTTATGTAAATATGTTCTAAGTGCTTCAGGAGTTTCAAATATAAATGGTCTTTCTGGTGGTGCAATCTCAATTGCTCTTGTTTTAATGATTTTTCTTCCATTATTATGATTATGATCATGATCATTATGATGTAATAAAGAATGAATAGTCATTCTATTCAATGGTAAATATGTTGTATCCTCATCATCATGATTATCATGAATAGTTTTCCATTTATATGAATCATATTGTTGTCCATTAATTTCATAGATATAATGAATTAAAATTAATATTGTTACTAAGTGAATATAAATTGAATGAGATTTGATGGGTTGGATACTACTTGAAGAAAACATTTTCCTTAGTAACTAAAAAAATAAAAAAAATAAATAGATAATAATTTATAAGTAGTATAAATTCATTGAATTGAAATATAATCAATATCTGATCTAGTTTGTACTGTTTGTTTGATAAATGGATAATGGCTAACAGTGGATTGGTCAGATGGATGTACCTATATCCTATAGTTGATATTCACTGTGGGACTCTAATCCAGTACCGTTCGTTTCAAACGCTATCACGTCATTCACTTAGCTATTGAGTCCTAATAGCCACTTACTTGTGCAATGGGGTGAAGTTTACATTCACTTGGTATTGTTTGTTTGAATGTATCCATTGATGTTTAGGGTTCAAAATTGATCAATCTTTTGTTGGTATATGTGGATGCGATACAAACTGCTTCAATATTGCCATATGTCACAAGCATTATAAGCTTGAATGGATGGTGGCTAGCAGTGGAATCCAGGATGCGTGACATATCGTGTTATTTGGGACTGGTTAGCTGGATGTACCTACATCCTATAATTGATGTTCACTCCAGGACCTGAACCCAATACTGTTCACTTCAAGCACCATCGCATTATTCACTTAGCTATTGAGTCCTAATAGCAACTTGCTTGTGTAATGGTATGGAGTTTAAATTCACATGGTATTGATACTTAGCACTGCAATTGATCAGTCTCTTATTGACATCCTGTGAGGATTGCCTCGATGTTGTTACAAAATCACAAATAGAATGAGGTGGAATGCGTGCTAGATTCATCTGCTAGCCCCCATCCGTCCTTGCTTACAATGTAATTCGGTTTAATTCAATATAAGCTACAAGAATAAATTAGACATTATTACCACTGGATGCCAACCAGATCAGTGATCTAGAGGTTAAGCATTCGTAAACAGGGTAGAAGGTCCTGATTTCAAATCCCGTGTGAGGAATCATGGATACGCACTGCATACTAGGACGAAAAAGCTATCCAGTATTTCTATGTTTTCAATGGTAGTCTAAAATTGATCGATTCATGATTTCAATCAAAACTCACAATTGATTGATCACTGGGTGGTGATCAATGTCATGCTTGTCTAGTCCTTATTAGTGCAGATCGAATGCTATCGATCATGTTGCAATGTGGCCACCAGTCTAGGTGACTCGACACTGCGGGCACTATGTATTGAGATTTAGATGGTAGTTGGAGGTAGTCAACAGGAAACCCTGGACCCGGGTTTCGTGCTACTTGGCACTCGTCAACAAAGTGTACCTGTAATCTTGAGGGAACTTAAGCTCCCTGACGGATTCGATCTCGTGTCACCCAGCTTCACAGTCAGAGACGTTGCCACTGAGCATGACATTGATCACCACCAAGTGATCAATCAATTGTGATTACATCTCAGTCCTACAGGAGGTTAGTCACGGCTCGGATAGCTCAGTGGTAACGTCTCTGACTGTGAAGCTGGGTGACACGAAACTGAATCCACCAGGGAGCACCAGTTTCCACAAGATTAAAGGTACACCTTGCTGACGAGTGCCAAGTAGCACGAAACCCGGGTTCAGGGTTTCCTGTTGACTACCTCCAACTACCATCTAAATTTCAATCAAAACTCGTCTATCTCCACAAATTTATAATGATAATAATTTATATACTGGATGTATTCCATAGAATTACAATTTTTCTTATTCACTAATGTTTTCTAACATAATTTATTGTCATAGTTAGCACTTTCAATAAAAAAAAAACAAAAGAACGAGAAGTTAGAAAATACAATGGATAAATTGAGCACTGTGGATCTGATACAAATGTGAAGGCGTAAATCGACAAAACAAGAGCAGAATATCTACAATTGAAGAACATTTGGAACTCAAGACAACTCTCTATCAAACAACACCAAGTTCAGAATTTTCAATACGAATGTCAAGACAGTTCTACTGTATGGCGTGGAAAATCGTAGAACTATGAAAACCATCATCCAGAACATACAAGTGTTTAATAACAATTGTCTATGCAAAATACTTCAGATCCGTTGATCAGACACTATCAGTAACAACCTACTATGGGAGAGAACAAACCAGATCCCAGAGGAGGAAGAAATCAAGAAGAATCGCTGGAAGTGGATAGGACACACATTGAGGAAAGCACCTAACTGCGTCACAAGACAAGTCCTCACCTGGAACCCTCAAAGCCAAAGGAGAGGCGGAAGATCAAAGAACACATTACGCCGTGAAATAGAGACAGGTATGGGAAGAATGAAAAACAATTGGATAGAAGTAGAAAGGAAGGCCCAGCAGAGAGTAGGTTGGAGAATGCTGGTCGGGGGCCTATTCTCCATCGAACGTAACAGGCGTAAGTAAGTGACGGTGCATACATGTCACTCAAGATAATTATTTGTATATACCTTCCACTTCTATTAAAGGATGGATTAATTATGTATTCATAATGTTGAAAAAGAAGCCTGAAAATATAGTCGTTATGCAATTGTAGCATCTAAATTACATAACTAGTTCTTGATTGAGTTTTGTTCTCTGAGCTGGATGATCTGGTTGTGGAGCTTTCGTCGTTTTTCTCAACGACATCATTAACACAAACTTCAGGTAGAAATGAAATGTTCGAATTTCTCCACATATGGCTAACAGCTTATCCGATAAACCTCGATGTTGATTGGTTCTTGTTGACATTAATTATGTCATTGTTTACTTCTTTGCTTTGGTTGTATCTCTCATTGCTTTGATTTTTCGTCCATATTTTCTCTAGACTAGTTGATAAATTGTATCAATTTCAATGTACTTGTTAATTGCTGATAGAATTGCTTCTATCCAAGATTTCCACATTTTTCCAGTCGAATGTGTATCCGCTGGAGTTCACGTGTATTGATATCAGAGAGGAAAGGTCATAACGTTTGACCGTTAATAATTGTTCATACAGACGTAGATGAAGAGGGTGTCCGCTCTGTCCGACGTAATGTTTTACGCCTAAAAAAAAGACTAAATGTTGATTGTTAATCGAGGTGTTGGTTTTGTGATGTATGCTGCTTATATGAATAGATATAAGTAATATGTAACAGGACTTGGAATTTGAATACTTATTAGAGAAAGATTGAAATAAAGAGAGCAGAAAGAGAAAAGAAGAACGATCGGAATAACAAAAGGATTAGAAGAATGATGGAATACGTAAAGAACAACTCAAGGAAGTTATGCAAATGATGTATTTAATGAATGATTTTACCATACCTAAGTTGTTGTTCAGTACAATTTGAGTAAGAATTACACAATTCATTATTAAATGTAGTTGAAGGTAAAACGTTGTACATTTAATTCTCCAGTACACTCACAGTTATTGCATTCTGAGTTATAAAAACTAGGATAATGTACAGTATCACAGGTATTGTCTAGTCATTGCACAACTATTGGTTTCGTGTATTTTCTCAACCGTCGATAAGACTTACTTACTTACTTACGCCTGTTACTCCTCATGAAAAAGCATAAGCCACTCACCAGCATTCTACATTCAACTTTGTCCTCAACAATCCTGTCAAGTTCTTTCTAATTGCTATTCATCCTTTCCATATCAGCTTCCAATTTCCGACGCAGTGTGTTCTTTGATCTTCCTCTTTTCCGTTTTCTTTCAAGATTTCAGGTAAGCGCTTGCTTTGTGATAAAGTTTGATCATTTCTGAAATGTGTGTCCTATCCACTTCCATCGTCTATCACTAATTTGCTCCTCATCTGAAAGTTGATTTGTTCTCTCGCATAGTGACCTGTTTCTGATAGTATCCGATCAACGGATATTCAGTATTTTGTGTAGATAATTGTTCATAAATACCTGTAGATTTCGATGATGGTTGTGGAAGTTCTCGAAGTTTCAGCTCCGTACAACAGAATTGTGCTCATATTCGTATTGAAGATTCTGACTGTGATGTTGGTTGATAGTTATTTTGATTTCCATATATTCTTCAACTGTAGGAATTCTATCTCATTCACTGAACAATGACCATTATTAACATCAAGTTACACATACTTCCACACACACACACACACACACACGAATTCATTAATTTTCACTTTATGAACTTTTCCCATGATTCACATCTTCATAACTTATTGAATCCAGATTTAGGGTAGATTTGATTTGATGAAGTTCAAAGGTTTAGAGGTTAAGCATTCGCGCGCATGCGGAATCATGGATGCACACTACTGAAGAATCCTATCCTAAGACGAAACAGCCTTCAATTACTTTCAAGTTTTTTCAATAATAGTCTAACATTCATCAATTCATGATCATGAATCAAGAAGTTCAGAGATGTTTACTAGATGAAATGTTGAAATGATTTAGATTTCAATGATTGAGATTAATTTCTTTCTTTTTTTTCTTATTACAAATAGATTCATAAGGAACAAAGTTTGTGATAATCAACCTTAATTTATGAATGTTGACATTTTCAGTTCAAATATGTTATGTAAATTAGTTTGGTAATCTATTGTTATTACGTATATTAAACTGATAAAGCCATAATTACTAAAGTATGACCTATATATGTATATGTATACACGAGCTTATCTTATTTGTCAAATATACTTTACTAAAATCTTCACAAAACCCCTTCTGATAATAATCATCTATTCACTAGTGACTGACTTGATGAAGCATTTCTTGGAGTTCTAGTGAGAAATCGTGATCAGTGAAGTTCAACCAGGTCTGTTGTGAGATGTCAGCTCATTGAAGATAATGGTGTATGGTGGCATAATTTTGTGAATTGGTCGAAGTTAGACATTAACACCGTTGGATGACGGCCAGCTCAATGGTCTGGAGGTTAAGTGTTTTAAAGCGACACCATTGGTCTTGTTTCCGAGTCCCACATGCGGAATCGTGGACGCGCACTGCTTAGGAGTCCTATATTAGGACAAAACGGCCGTCCAGTGCTTTCAGGTTTTCCATGATGGTCTAGCTTCAATTGACTCATGATTTCAAATATTGTAATTTATTTTAGAATGAAAATTTGTGGAGATTGTAGTAATTTTAATAGTTAGATTC